GCTGGGGTAGAGAATGAGAAAGCACTGTTACACTGATTGATGTATTTATGCATGTTTGAGTAGTTTTCAGTCAACTCATATTTGTGTACTACAGAGGCCCACTCCACCCACTGCCCCAAAGATTACTGTCCCAGGTAGACTACAATGAAGAGTGAGAGACAGGAGAGCATGAAGAAAACTAACACCTGGATCCAGGAGTTGGTGGCATACCTTAAATGAAATTTCAAGATCTCAATTATGAAATTATAATTCCATGCTGGTATCCACATAAAGAATTCTATGTCCTATGAATGGAATTTAAAACATCTGAATGATAGAGTAATTCCATACCTACTATCTACACAGACTCTCTGGGTACGGAATACAGTAGTAGAATTACAACCCTGTCAACTCTGCAGATGCCAACTGATACTGACCACATGTGAGGCATTTCATACCCTCCCCTCTACGACCTGTCACCTTCCATTTGCTCAGTGCTACTGCAGTCAATCAACAGAGGACCTCTGCAAATCACTCTGATTTTAATCATCTGTGTGACTGTAACTAAAGCTTACTAACAGCCACCAGGGAGAGGAGAGAACAAGTTAACCCGATTTTGTTTTGACTAATTCAAAAGAAAAAAACAAAAACAAAAACAAAAACAGAAGCTGGGTGGGGGTAAAATTTGCAAAAGTTTGACATGTGGGACTTGGTCTGGAGTTCCAAAAATTACCACAACATAAATTAACAAATATTGTCTAGGCCGGCTCTGAAGAAACCTCTTCTTTCCTGTCCTTATTTCACTATTATTTTCATTCATATTCCATATTCTCAGCCCTTCCCTGGCCTCTTTGTTCCAAAGTCTTAACTTTCTTTTGATTTCTTACAAAGTTATTCTTCATATTGTCATCTTCCCTTTTAGGGCATTTGGCCTAAATTTAACATGGCAGATTCCTTTCCTGAAGATATAACCCACTTTCTGCATATCACCCTGCAACTATGTATGATTCCCTGGCACTCTCCACATGCCACATTCACAGATTCAAATTCTGATTTTATATATCACATGTTCAATGCAAACTTCTGCCTTATCTGATTCTGAAATTCTGAGATGACTTATCTATCTACATATTTTTTTTTAATGTAAGTGAAAACAGGTTGTCTTTAGACTGATACTGCCAAAGCACATGCCACTGCCTGCGTACTTGAACATCACTCCTAATGAAATTTTCATGAGGTTATTGTCATCTTGCAACAAGGCCCTGCTGACGGTTGGATTACGGTGGTAGAGCCTCAGCCCAAAGCAGATAAAGGTTTTGATTGCAAAGTTTAAAACTGATATCAAATATTCACAAGCACTATATGAAAGTCCGGACACTTTGACTCAATAGTTCCCTTCTTGGGAATTTGTCTGTAAAAAAAAAACAAAACAATTCTGGGGCTCCTGGGTGACTCAGTCATTAAGCATCTGCCTTTGGCTCAGGTCATGATCCCAGGGTCCTGGGATAGAGCCCCGCATCGGGCTCCCTGCTCAGCGGGAAGCCTGCTTCTCCCTCTCCCACTCC